ATACCTCCAGAGGCACATCTGAAATAATAATATAATAAAACTATTAGTATGCAAGTCTAGAAGGACAGTACTTACACAAGATATCACAAGTCATAAGACTACTTCTGATCTTACATGGATCATCCTCAACTAGCTGACTTAAATATCGGTCTTTAGAAAGATTGGCATCACCAAAGTAAAACTCCATTTGATCCAGAACAGTTTTGTACAGTTGTTTTTTACGCCGCCGTCCTTTGACTTTACCATTTTCCTCGGTGCAGTCATAACCATCTTCCAAATACATTGGATGACCACCAACCATGGCACCTAAATGAAAAACAATCCATTTTAAATACAAGTATTTTCTCAAAGTTGTACTTAAAACAATCATACTTTTTCAAAAGCAGTGTGGGGAAGCTAGAGGTTAGTGCATAAAGTTTCTTGTTTTAACCAATTCAAAATTTATTTGCTGATACCATTTTACAGATGGGGTCACACAAGATTCATAAAAGAAAGAAACAGTGATGTAACTACGACAAGGAGACTTAAAGCGTTAAAAGCTATTTTATTGAAAATAGTTTAATGTGTGAAATAGTCATCACAACAGAAAGATATGTTTCAATTGAATGTGCATCATAAATTGTTTTCAAAAACAGAAATCCCACAGTCTTACCATGAGGCAACATCCAGTCCATGACGGTTCTGCTCGTTATTACTTTCAGTAAGAAACTTTAACTAAGAATCTGAGTCCCACTGACAAGTTTCGGCGTTTGCATATAACCTCCAAATCACCCACACCTCCTCAACCCAAACAAACAAAACACAGACGACAGCACAACCGTCATTTGTCGACCAAGGGTGGTTTCAGTTCGAGTCCAATATGCTCTTCACGTTCTGCCTCGTGATTGGTGCAATGTTTCCACACGGCCAGATGTGCGAAGCAGTTCGTAGCTCAACAGCCCCCGTCGGGTCTGTTTTTGTTGGTTTGAGATTTGCCGGCAAGTTCCTCATGTGTTCATACATAATTTGCGGCGATTGTCGTGTTCCTTTTTTCTGAAATTTTAAACTTGTTGGTTAACATTTGTAAAATGTCGTAAATGTGTTGTTTGTCACGATGTCTGACATATTCTACACGCGTGACGCTATCAATCTTCTAAGTGGGAAGAAGATATATTTCATAGGAGATAGTAGTAAGTTAATTATTGCCGAGATTAATCTCAATTATCTCATTTCACTTAGCTTTTGCAAATATACTTTCAACCATCATGTATTACAGACATTCGAGCATTGTACAAAGATGTTGTCTGCCTGCTGGTGCACAATCGGCTCCTGACAGAAAAACAACTAAGACAAAAGGTATCATAAAAGTTTGGTGCACCTGTATGTTTTTTTATTTTCGTTTTCAATCATCAGCTGGAATCTGAATTTTGTGTTCAGGCTGAGGTAACTTTCCTCGGGGATGAATTACTCAGAGGTTCACCTCTTACCAAAGGAAGAGCATACACAGAGGACAGACGTTTTAAGGTTCTTGTTTTACGAATACACTTTGTTAGTAAACTGCAGGGTGGAAGTTGATGGTGTGATTCAAACTAATAATGAGAGTTTTCTTGTAGCCGAGACACCTACATACACATGTTGAATTTCATTTTATCACAAGATGCTTAAATTTGGACCTTGAGCTCATGCTGGATGACTTCAGAAGTAAAAAGGTATCAGCTCCAGATATAATTGTAATGAACTCAACACTCTGGGATGTCAATCGGTGAGCTACTGTGCCAACTGCCAATACTGACTACAGATGCAGTGACTTGAACGAGTATCATGATGTTTTGAAAATTTTCAGCTGGGGATGGAATGGGGTTGAGAAATTCAAGGAAAATATGCAGGAACTGATGAAATTATTTAAGAGTTCCTTACCACCCTCCTGTCTAGTGATCTGGGTGACAGCCCCCCCTCTTGCTGTCGAAATCAGAGGGGGTTTTATGATAAAACAGGTAATTATTCAAACGGTTTCTGGCCAACTCAAATGATATGAGCACTGTCATACCTCACTATTTCCCCTTTTCTTGTCACATCTGCCTTTTAAATTGCAGATAGAATATGCCAAGTTCACCATGAGGTTTCATGTGATGGAAGCTAACATGTATGCTCAAAAGCTCCTTGCCGAAAATGGCTATAATGTGCTGGATTTTCATTTCCATTTGAGGTGGCTGGTCCACAGGTAGGTTTATATGCCAGAGACTAGCTAGCGCGTTGTAGGATGTCGTGCTGATCTGTTCGAACATGTTCACTCGCAGGCGCAATCCCGACGGGATGCACTGGAGCAACAAGGCCATGAGGCACCTCACCAACCTCTTGTTCACGCACATCTGTAAGTCTCGCTGACGGTCCTGGTTCGTCTGTCTTGGTGTGGGGCTGGCGACCGACCTCAGATGACCTGACGCATATATGGCTTTTCTTGTCGCGCCGCAGCGCTCGCGATCGGCGTGCCGCTGCCCGGCAACTACCACAGCAGCCTCCTGGAGAAGCACAAGAGCCTGGCGCGCCTGGAGCAGGCAGACCTGGAGGCCGACCCCTGCGACTTCACTGACGACGTGGAGCTGACGGACGCGCCCCAGGCGCTGCTGCCCACCCCGGAGCTGCCGCAGCAGCGCGCCCTGCGCCCCGGCGGGCCGTCGTCCTGCTCCGTGTCGTCGTCGTGCTCCTCGAACTCCTCGGCGGGGAGCTCCAAGTTGCGCGCGCGGCCCCCGCCGCGGGTGGCCACCCGCCCCAGCAGCAAGATCGCCGTGGTCCAGAGTGGCGGCGGCGGCCCCAGGCACCCGCCCGCCCCGAGCCGCTCGAGCTGGAAGGCGCCAGGCAGGGGCGGCGGCGGCAGTGGGTACCACAACAGTGGGTACCACGGCGGTGGGCACCGCGGCGACGGTGGGTACCGCGGTGATGGTGGGTACCGCGGTGGAGGGCACCGTGATGACGGTGGGTACCACGGCGGCGGGCATCGCGGTGGCAGAGGGTACTATGGCGGCGGCCAGCGCGGCGGCGGTGGGTACCACGGCGGCGGAGGCGGCGGCGGCGGCGGCGGCGGCGGCGGCCACCGCGGTGGCTGGGACAACAGCAGCTACGGAGGCACGGACTACGACTACACCGAGGACGGTGAGTGTTCAAGTATTTTGCTATCTGAGGAGCTTCTCTTTGACGGCGACGTGCGGGGGCGGGGCGGGGTGGCCACCACCATCACGTCGATGTCGCGAGGTCGACGGCGTGCTCACTGCGGTCCCCGCCGCCCGCCGCCGGGCTCCGCTCTGCCTACATGGTCGCATTTTGTCCCGCAGGCCCGTACTTCGAACAGCAGCCGCAACAGATCGAGTCGCATTGGGGGCCGGCGCGGCGGCAGCGACACCACGGTGATCGTCGGCACCGGCCCTACTGAGGCGCAAGTGCACCAGAAGGTCCCTGCGCATTCTATGCTGACTTGTTTTTCCTACGGGTACATTTTAGTTTAGCTTACAAAGTCTTAAATGTGATGGAACCTTTGTCACGTTTACGACCTTGAAAAGTTTGTTATTTTTTTTACTTTTTTTATTTACCAATAATTGCTTTGTTGAATTGCGATGACTGCTTTGTTGTACGTAATATAAGTAGGATTGAAGTTCCGTTTTTCTCGTTGTTGTTGTTGTTGACGCTCCCCGGGGGCCTCCTCAACTCCCCGACACTGGTCACCCTAAAGGCCTTGCTTGTCCGTCCAAAAGTTTTGCGCGCCTTTGCTGATGTAATTGCAAGCAAGTCGACCAGTCGACCCCCCACCCAATACCCCCGCGTTCTCTCGGGCTTCCGCACTCCGCCCAACGACTGGGACCGGGGCCGTGTTTGGTGTCGATACCGCCGTGGTAGTTTGCGCCCTTGTGGCGGGACACATCGCAAGCCGCGGCAAAGGCCAAAGGCTACCCCCTGCTGCCGGGAAGCGACCGACTCTCTGGCGAGCAGGAAGTTTCGGCTGTAGAGAGGGAGGTGCCGCGCGCAGATGGGCTGTGATGATCGATCACGCTCCTCAGTGCGATCGGAGTAAGTCACGATGCTTGGGGAAGGGGGGGGGGGGGCTATAGGGCGCGTATAACAGGGTTTGAGGGGCTGTAAGAATCAGCACTGGCGGCGTTGAACGGCAAGCGGTTGGCTAAGCGGGCTGCAGCTTGAAAGAAGTGCCCTTCCTTTGCTGCCGGCGCGAGGTCGGTCGGCTGCGACTGAGCGCTTCCGCCGAGTGGTTGAAGTACGGCAGGTAGCTGGCTCTGGGCGAGGGTGCTGGCGCTGCTCGGGCGCGCGCGGGGGAGTTTCGGCGGAAGATGGGGTCCGCGGAGGCCGCCGGGGCGGGGTCGCGCGCGGGCGTCGCGGGGGCGTCGCGGGGGCGTCGCGGGGGCGTCGCTGGGGCCCCGGGCGTGGGG